GATGTTTGGTGGTGAAGGCATGGCACCCACCATCATGGAATGGAAGAGGATCTGGGTGCCGGGCATTGGCACCCACAGTTGGAACACAGGGACTCAGCAATCACCCCTTAAAGGTGCATCCATTTTCTTTTATAGATAGAAAGTAGATGTTAAGATAGAATCCTTATTTACTCCATATTCTGTACAAATTGAATTGTCATGTATTTTATTTAACTTTTTTTTTTTTCTAAGTCAGATATTATTTATATGGATTGATCCATGTTTGTGATCACTAACTTCTTGTAGTCCCTTTAAAGTTTCAACACCTAATAGTAGTTCATATATTGCAGAGATTTTACAGTGCCACCCCTCCACCGCAAAGACCACCAACATTCTTTGGGAAAATTATCGAGAATCTCCGAGAAGAAATGTCAAGAAATCAGAAGATGAAAGAGAGCTTGAAGGAATTTAGAAAAGATATGGAAAAGCTCGAGAAATCAGAAGCCTTGCAAAAAGCCAGGTAAGGTTTTGCAAGCTAGGTTTAACTTATTGATTTTGTTTTAACTATGTCTGGGCTTTCAAAACTATTTTTATTTTTCATAAAGATACAGGGAAAAATCTACCATATACATTCCATTTTTAAACAATGTAAAACTAAATATTGCTTCTCTTATAGGGAAAAATACCAGTCTGTAGAGGAAGAAACAGCAGAAGGAAGCAAAAAGGCTAAACAGCAGCTAGAATTTTTGAAGAAACGTGTTTCAGAAACAGTTGAAGAAGCTCAGAAGGCAGAAATCCTTCAGAAAGCCTGTAAGTGATTGGAATAGAGCTATATTATGTATAGGTTTTTCCTTTTTTTGTATTGAAGAGAAACTAATGGAAATGTACTATAAGTGTAAAAGAATTAAAATATTGTTGCTATAGAGAAGCGATAAAATAGGGTAATATATTTCTCCTTTCAGCGAAAATGACAGAAGAGGCAACAAGGCAGGCACAAAAGGTTGGCCAGACCATTTCACAAAAAGGAGAGGAATTGAGCAAGACCCAGACCTTCAAAACTATCTCTGAGACCGCCAAGGCTGTGAAAGAGGAGATCGACCACTCCACATTTGGTGGTGCCGGAGCTAGGGTCTACAGAGCTCCGAGGGTGCTTAGGAAAAGAGTAGAGCGAGACCCTGAAGCAGAACAGAGGATTATTCAGGTGTGTTTTGAAGTACTGATTCTGTTGATTTTATAGCAGTATTATTTATTTATTAGTAATAGTTCTCTGAGTCATGGCTAATATAAAAAAAAGATTGATTTTGAATTTTGTATCTTGAATCAAATCACATATTTCATGATTTGAATTCTTTTGTTTCTTTTTACTGATACTTTAAAGTGATTGTTTGTCTCATTAATTGTGACTAATTGCCTTGACAGGGGTTTATTCAAATATATATTTCAGTATTCCAAAAAATATATTTCATTTATTATGAATCAACAAATTTTTTTTTTCCAGGCTAACACAGAGGCAAGTGGTATGGTTCTACACAAAGACTCTCAGTTTGCTCAAAGTTGGCAAAATTTCAAGGACAATAACCAATATGTTAACAGATTATTGGTTTGGAAAACAAAATTGGATGAAAGTGATAATCCAGTTGTCCGTGCTTCAATGCTAGTGAAAGACAAGGTAAGGGCAATGGTCACTTTTTTAGAAATTTTGTTAAGATTTTAGGGTTAAATTTTTTTATATATGAGTAATGGGAAATCCACTTAAGTGCTCAAATATATTGTAGTTTTCTTTGCTGCATGAACACGAATATCTTCTCCTTTTTGCTATGGATATACTTTTATTTCCTTGGACATTTATAGAATGATATGCATTTGGCTAATCTGTTGGAAGCTTAACTTATTTGTGTATCTTTTCATCAACTTTTTAAAGGTCTCAGAATTATTTGGTGGAGTCTTCCAGCGTACTGAGCTCTCTGAAGCTTTGACCGAGATATGCAAAATGGACCCAACATTTGACAAAGAACGGTTTCTTCTCGAATGTGAATATGATATGATTCCAAATGTTTTAGAAGCTATGATCAGACCAGATCTAGAGGTTGGTTTCTTTCTTTCTTTCATTTTTGTTGGAAATTACTTCCATACTTGATAGTTAAGAAGTATTATCTGTACTTTCAATGTCCTGGAAGATTATAAACTTTAGAATTGTTATAGTCTGTTCAATTAACTCACATCTTATTGTGTATCTTTATGTATATAACTGCAATGTGGAAAGCTTCAGATGTATTTTGAATTATTAGAACAAAACAAGGATAAAACATGTATAATGCAATCTTGAAGGGCACAGGGTATGACCTTGTTTATTTCTCCAATAGGTTCTCAAGGACTGGTGTTATGAGCGAGCTTTTTCTGTGTTAGCAACACCTGTGAAGCAAGCTTATCAACTAGGTTTCAAATTTGACTCAAAGGTGAGTTAAATTCATATTGATATTTCTCTTCAGAATTAATGTATACATTGTTTTTCATAAAAGTATTTTTATGATTTATTAGCTTAATTTTGGATTTTCTCTCCATAAAAGCTAGTTAAGGAAGATTGTGAATATAACCATTTTTAAAATAATTTACTGGAGGTGTTCTGTTACCCAGGTTTTGGATGTTGACAATGTGGACTTGGTCATGGGAAAAGTTATGGACGAGGGACCAGTTCTTGCCATTTCCTTCCAGTCACAACAGATTATGTGTCTACGGAATCAAAAGGGGGAGGTAAGCTGTGGCAGATTTTAATACCTTTGCACATACTTGTTAATGATACACTGAGGAGGACTTTTCTGTTTTTTGTGTATTGGTATTAATATTTTTGTTTTATTTCTTTACTTTTTTTTCAGGTTGTGGAAGGGGATCCAAGCAAGGTGCTACGTGTTCAGTATGTGTGGGTGTTGTGCCGAGACCAGACAGAACTGGATTCCAGAGCTGCTTGGAGGATACTTGATTTGTCAGCACAGAGTACAGAGCAGTTTGTATAGTGAATCAATTTAGGCAGCATAATTTCTTTATAGGAATTTGTAAATTATTTAGTTAATGGGCACAATTATATTTTTTCCCCTAGAACAAACTGTTATGTGGGCCACCTAGCATGGCCAATGAAATATATATTTGGAAATTACTAATATGTAAAGCTACATATTGATGAACGAAATTAGGACATACACATGTTGTGATATACACATCCAGAAATAGTCTACAGACAATTTCCTTCAGATTGAAGATATTTTGAAGTCTACATGGGAAACTGATATTTATACCATTATGTATATGAAAATTACAGATATTCTTTTATAAACTAGAAGCATGTTTTCAGTATCCTTATTGTTATCTTGAGATCTGTATATTCTGACCGTCAGAGGAAGATTCAACCATTAACTGCTGCTGATTTGTGTATAGCTAGCAGGGTTTTTAAAGGTTAAAGGTTAAATGTTGGTTCTTTCAACATCTTCAACATTATATATATATTACCAGTTGGCAAATGCCTTCCAATAAGACCTAAATGAAATTGCACTCATGTGTTTGTTACAATTCATGATTCTTGAAAGGTTGAACTTCACAGTGTTATTTGACAGGCAGAAAAAGGATGACTAAAGAGCTTCCACCTCAGTTGTAAATGGTATAACCACTGATATTTACAAAGTATGTTGAAGTGACATTTGTTTTTTTTTGGAGACCCGATAGATACCCACAGACGAAATCATCATAAGTAGGAAGTTTTAGGGAAGTGCTAGTGCAAATGTAATTAAATAGGGTACTTCAAAGGCCTTTTTTCTGAAACCAGGTTACCCAATATGACAATCTAATGTGTAACTAATTGAGAATTTTTTTTTTTACTTGTTTTTCCTTGCTATTGATGTTAATGATTTCAGAAAACGACTTCACAGGAAAATTTTATAAACATTCCCAAATTCATTTAAGGTGTGATTTTGTATTTTTCAAGTATTTTGTTTGTGTTTAAATGCTTCACCAATTACAGGAAAAAAAAATAAATTTAATTTTGAAGATGGGGGATATCACTTTTTGGCTTTGCAATGGGATTAACATGAATTGGTCATTTCTTCACACTTGTTCACTTCACTATGTACATATTTATCACAAAGAGTACTGCTCTTTGTTATCATCTATGTAATCATAGAAGTCATTTATGATTTCAGGGTTTGTTAAAATAAAACACAGTTGATATTGTAAATATGTAATATACGTTGTTTTGAAATTGTTCATTTACTATCCTTCAGTGTTAATTATCATTGGCAGTAATTGTGCAGGACTAAGCCTTGTATATGTTGCATTACAGAAAATACAAAGATCACAAATATCTCATATAATGCTGGCAGTGTTCAGTACAGTTTAAAACTTAAAATTACTATCTCCTCTCCTTTTAAGAAGTATAAAAAATAAAGAACTAATAATAAAAAAAAATAAAAAATAAATAAATAAAAGGAAGGAAGAGGATAAAAATCACTTCATTCATTTTTATGTATGAAAGACATCAGGATGCTGAAAACAGGAATGGTTTCGATTGTAATTTGCAAAAATAAATGAAAGTGAAATGAACTGATGGATGACTGATGCATTAATTACTAAAATGGTAACCTCATACAGCGCTTGACTTTTTTTTTTCTTTTTTTCCTTTTTTTGCTGCACAAAAAGATTGTCATTAATATAATGAATACCTATGTACAGCATTCACTAGCATTTATGCTTGCTAACTTTCACGAATTTCACACTTAATTGCATGATTATACAGCTAAACTTACATCACTGTAAACATTCATACCCACACTTCCTACAAACCAACTTTCTAATTTAAGTTCAGTTTTACGACTGGCAGTGCATCAGGGAGGGTAAGGGGCTACAGGTACGAGGTCAGTCATTTGATAACCTAATGCTCTACCACGTAGCAGACACCGGGTCTCTTTTATACATATACAATATATATATATATATATATATATATATATATATATATATATATATATATATTTGTATATGTATATATATATATATATGTATGATCTGGCAGTGAGTGGAAACAATTCTTCTGGCAGTTGAGTAGTCGGAGCCAACCTTATAATATCTGGCTCAATATAAACAAAGCCAGTATTATTGAGTTTAAAAACTTGTTTAAGGCAAGAGATGTCACTGGCAGTGATCTTTGTCTTGAATAACATCAATTATAGTTATACATATGCATAATAGAGTAAGACATGAACTAAGCTGGCTTATTGCTAGTTCATGTTCTTTACTAGTTTTAAATATGTATATTATATAGCAATGGCTACTTTCTAATCGCCAGTCTTATTATTAATATCATCACATGTGGACACTATGCACAAAACCCTAAAATACGATATTAATACAAAAGGCAGGGACTGTTTTGAAAAAGGAGTAGAGTTAATGAGGTTGACTTCACACGTGGTTATTTATCTAATTACCTCAAGTTTATGTCATGATTCTGGGTTCTCAATTATTCAGGAAGATCAATTTCACATTTGTCATGATACTGATAAAAAAGTCAGCCTTCATTTCTTTCTACAACTCATAATGCCAAAATCCACAGCTAAAATTCAACTAAAGACATATAAGCAGAAATAGCATCTAAATTCAAGATATTGGTCATGAGATAAAGATTCCAGTACTTCCAGAAATATCAGTATTATATTAAAATTGTATGCCCAAATGTACTACATTAAATAGTGTCTATAAGGTTGCCCTCCAGTTGTTCCTTATACTCAGAATACAGCCTCTGTAGCTGCAAGGAGTTCTCGGCCAGCAGGATCTCTCGAAGGAACTCTTCGAGTAGACTCTTCTTATCAAAGTCCTGGAAAGTTTTCAGAAAAATATTAGAATGACTAATGATAAAAAAAAAAAAAAGTGTTTCCTAATCATAACTTTAAAGATACAATTTTCTACATTATTTGATTGTTTAGAAGTATCTATTTCCTTTCCTGAATTCAATGTAGCTAAGTACTTTACATTTACTGAAATAACATACCATGATCTTGGGAATCCATCCATTTTGATCTTGATTGTCCATAGATCCACTATGTCTCGGCCCCAGGAGGTCATCAAACACATCTCGCAATTTCTTTTCAAGCCCTTAAAGAAGAGAAATCAAAATATCAAATCCATGATCAAACTGCAAAACAATGAACAAAAAAAGAAAGCTGAATTAGTATTCAAAACAAAAACATGAAACACTAACAAAAACCCACCCTCTTTTATGAAGAACTGAATTTTCCGTTTCAACCAAAATTTGTAATCCTGGGCTGCTCTGAGATACTGTGCAGATGTCAGCATACGGTTGATGAAGACCTCAGTCAAGTTCTGCTTGGCATCATCTGGGATCAGAGGTCTTGTCACTCTTGAAGAACCAGAACTGAAAGCACACACAACATATAATTTTTTTTAGACAGTATATAACACCTTTGCTATAGTATGTGTTCATCTGATAATGCTTTAAAAATCCTGATAGGAAATAATCTTCTCCAACACAAAACATTACATCTTTACTTACTAGGCAGCAGTCTGATGCAAGAGGCTGGCAAGAGGTCTTGCTTTATATTCACTCTGATGACAAGGAGGCAACATTGTGTACTCTGGCTGCAGGACTCGCCGTACACTGGCAGAATCACCTAACAAAAGCCAAGCCTCCAGGTCATGGCATCTGGTGAAGGCTTCTCCTGATGCGAGCAGTACAACTGGCGTGCCTTCAGCAGTGAGCTGGACAGCCTTCACTCCTCCATTACGTCCTTCGACTATATGAAATGAATGATTGGTTTAATAATGGTTCTTGAAATAGATAAATGAGTAAAAGAAAGTAAAATTCTCAAAATTTAGAACAAAAGTATAGAAGGAGAGCAAACATCATGATAAAGGTAAGCAGTAAATATCTTCCACAGCTAACTCACAAAACTAAGTCTTCATGAAAATAATTACCAATTTCACAGTATCAAAAAATATGATTCCATCCATAAAAACTGACAAAAAGCAATCACACTAATTCATCTAATTTCTTCCAAACCTGTTTTTTCAGCCAAACACCCAGTTTACACATACAGATTAGAGTACACCAAATAAACTGAAACAGTACGCTACCTAAATGTCGAATGGTCTCTGAGAGAATTCGCTTCTTCTTGTTGATGTCCCAGATTGTAAGGGTAGCTTCAGTTGTAATAACCATCAAGCAGTTCTCATGGACAAAAAGCTGTGATGCCTTTCCTTGAAGCTGCACTGGGGGTAACATCATTTCCCCTGGGAAATTAAAGTATCATATGTAACACCATTTCCACTACTCCCTTTAATGTGTCTACATGAGCATTTACACCTGTAATATATTTCAGCTGCAGTAAAAATGTATTCTGGATGCAAACACTATAGTTATGATGGGTTTTTAATATATGAGACTTGACACCACATACAAAGAAATATTTTTTCTTAAAGAAAAATAACTGAACAACTAAATGAATACACAAAATGAAATAAATAACAATGAATAATCAAAAATTTGAAAATGATTATTAACAAGCCTTTAAAGAGAATGTCAAGTCCTTTCTCACTCAAAGATTCTTCAAAAAATTATTCTTAGAACTTCTGAAGTAGACACCTGAGGAATGAAATAAGGATGAAGAAGAGTAGCAGAAGGACAAAGTAGGAGAATAGCATGATAAAGATGGGGAGGGAGGATGAGGAATAATAATGAATTATAACAATATGAGAAAGAAGAAAGAAGAGCAAAATTACCTGTCTTTATATAAAAAATGTGAAGCGATTTGTCCTGACAGGTCAGTGCAGCAGCATCTGTGGTAGCTACAACTGCAGTGACTTGTGATGTAAGGTAAGCTACCCAACTCACAACATTTTGCTGTGTTCTGCTAACTCTGTGCAGACTTGGTGTACGACCACCCATACCAACACGATTTCCAATTCGATAATCATTTTCTACAATCAGAAGTGGAGGAGGGCCGTCTGTTGAATTCTCTCCGGGAATCTGTTTTAAAAGATTTTTTTTTAAGTGGTAAGTTTGTGAAAACTATTAACAACAAATCTAGTCTTCTGTAAAAACAACTATACTTGTAAAACAAAATTAGGAATGGGTGAAAGGAAAATGCACATTTCTTCATAATACCTGAACTCTAGCTGACTTAGAGAGTGATGCTTCGGGTAGAACATTTAAAGGCTCTCCCTGTGTATGTGCAACAGCCTGCGGTCTTGAGGATACCACTGGCTGTGCAGGAGGCGGAGTGGGAACACGATTTGGCGGTGGAGCTGTGGCTCTTTCATACAAGGGAGGTCTGCCACGTTTCCGCTTGGGCATAATTGGCTGGGCATCTTCGTGCTTGCGCTTAGTTGAGATTGTTGTGATCTGTCCATCCATATGTTTTTCTGAACCATTGGTCGATCTGTTAGGGAATAACTTTAGCTTTACACGTCCCAAGACAATATTTAAAAATTTACTATATACACTGTATCATGAACATTGCTAAAAAGAAATCTATTAGTGGATATTACTGATAAACTGCTTTCCCAGATATAATAAAATCATGAAATGCATGTTTCTTTTACAATTATTCTTATCCAACTTTAAAACTTATACAGTAAAACAAAAACTGTTTTTATAATCCAACATTTGTAAATACTGAATGCGAATTATCCACTCACTTCTCAAATCTAGCTGGCAGACCTGCAGGAACCCCATTGAATTCCGCAGGGAGAGGAGCCGATGCTCCCTTACTGGGGGATGTGCTAGTGTTTGAATTGAAAGCCAGAGGGGGTCGACTGGTGACGTTGGGCTCGACTACGCCATCCACCTTCTCAACCACAATCTTGCTCTTCTCTTGTTGACTGGATGAAAAGCTGGCTTCGTAAGATTTGTTTGGATTTTCAGTCCTGCAACTGTGTTGTTGCAATCAGTTTTTAAAGATTTAAGAGGTCTTAGAACCTTCATTTCTTTATTCTTGTTTGACATCTAAC